GCCAAGGGGTATATCGATAATGTACCAGAGAAGTAGATGTGTGTGTGTATTTGTGAGGGTGGAGAAGAAGGGAAAAGCCCAAAAGAAACGTGATTAGATGAAGATGCGGGCTTTGCATGCTTGCTGAAAACGTGGAGCGGCACCTCCCTCAGCCCTCAAGTGAGGTCGGTGAGAAGCGGATGCAAAGCGCGGACGTCCGGATACATGCTGCTAGTAAATGTCGCCCTGGCTGGCTTGCTCTTGCTCCGCCGGCTCGGTGCCGCTTTGGCCTTGCAGTCACCGTCACTGCCCGAATCGTCGTTGACGTCGTTGACGTCGTCATTCCGGTCCGGGACTGGCTTCCAGGATCCATCCGCCGAGACACGGATGCTGCGCGCGTTAAGCCGGCCTGTGGACTCGAGCTCCTTGCGCACCCCGAGCAGGAACCCGTCCACCACAAGGCTGCATGGACGAGCGTCCCCGAAACAGCTTTTAATGGGACACCGCCATCTGTCCACGAGCGTCGGCTCGAAAATGCGCCAGCGGCACGTCGCCTCGCATACGTCTGCCTGGTGCGAGATGCATTTGCGAGATTGAGGTTTGCGCTCGCGCGTCTCGAGCCAGTTACTCAAGTCGAAGCATTCCAGGTGGGTGCATGTGGCACCTCGGACTGGCGTCTCGAACATAATGGCCGAGAACGGATCCGCAAGATCGATCGGCAGCTCCTCGGTCACCACCATGATGCTGTCGTCGTCGTCGTCATTGTTCACACTAATTCGCTTCCGAATCACCTCCAACGTCTTCTCTGGGGGGATAACTTGGTCGTTTCGGATCTGGTTCCAAAAAAACGAGTGGCTCTTCGTTATAATGATCTCAACCGCGATAGCATAATACTCCACAGGCGCCCTCAGCATTGCTAGCGCAATCTTGACTTGGTTTTTCCCACCGATAACGTATGAAGTCAGCTCAGCAGGCAAATCCTTGCCGTAATGCGGTTTCCGCTTCGGTGTCAACGCCGTCTTGCCGTTCAGCATTATAAAAATGTGCGCCGGCCACGAACTCTCGGTATTAACCCACTTCGACTGGGACATGTCGGCTGTGGGGCCGCCAATATTGCAGCACCGCAATCGCATACGCAATGTGCCGTCCTCGTATTCGCAAACTGGGACTTTCGGCTCGCCGTCCTGCTGCGAGACAGGCTTGGACAGGCGGGACAGCGTCTCGTCATCCACGTCGAAAGTAAGTTCGGTGGTGCAGCGACTGTCGCTGCGTATAACCACAGGGGCGACGGCGAATCCGTTAATGAATTGATAATGGCGCTCCTGCGACTCCCGCTTGTTGTTCAAAAGCCTACTCGTTCTGACGGGACTCCGCAAGTGGATCTGGTGTAGCGTCATACTGAAAGAGCTCTCGTCGTACTGGCCGTGGGCGTAATCGGGTCTTGGGATGAGCACCCCCGGGGGCGGGAGCAAAGGCGATAATACCTGGCGATATGCGTTCTGGGGCGTCAGGGCCGAGGGGAACCCTGCCGCCGCGGGCGGCATCTGGTGAGATTGATACATGCGCCCTTGCATGTTGACATTGATAGGCAGGGAATTCGTCCTGGCAGACATCATGGAATGTGCCGTGGCGCCATGGACCTCGCTGGGGAATACGACATGCTGTCCAGGTCCAGGTGGAAGGATATAGTTGCTTGGAAGAACAGGGGGGGTTGGATGTCCTCCCTGAACTAGGGAAAGCGATTGGCGACGATAGTCCTGTATGAGTTGTTGGTGATGAGGGTGCCGCAGGGGTGTTTGCGCAGGGTGTGAAACATGGCTCTGTGGTAGAACCGGTTGCCCGTCGTAAAGGCGGGGCGATGCCTGGGCAGCAGGGACCGTTGCATAGCTTTGTGGTTGAAACGATTGCCCCCCGGGGAAATGGCGCGGTGTCGGTTCAGAGGACTGCCGTCGCGGAGCGTTTGAATACACGCCGCCTTGAGCGCCAGGGCTTATCGTTTGCGGCAGCCCTTGTGCCTGTGTCGCGTAAGCGGGGTGACGGAGATTTTCGACGACTGGGCTCGTGGCCGACAGTTGTCCGTTCCGCCAGTGCATTTGCCCGGGATGCGCTGTTGGCTGGGTTGGCTGGGGTTGCTGGGGCGGCGCGCTGAATGCTGTCGGGGATTGAGAGAATTGAGGCGAGCTGACGGTCAGCGGGGGATGCCAAGAAGTCCCAGAGATCGGTCCGTTCTGGCCGGGAACCGGGCGCCTCACGGACATCACCCAGGCACGATACTGGTTAACCACCCCCTGGCTCCT